TCTGGAATTCAGGAGTTTTCAATCGATCTATAATTTTCTTAGCTTTTAAACAAAACTCTGGCTGCTAGCTAGTGGTGTCAATGAGCTAAAATAAGATTGCTCCTTAGGGTAGTACAACAGTTTAACAACTGCTTCACTACTGTATATAGTACCCTTTGCACGTGTCACACCGTTTTCCAACAATATCCTCATGAAACTAGGTGTGCAGTTCTTTTAATTACAAAATTTTGTCACATCATGAATCAAAAATTTTATCCAGCTCAGGTGCTGGGAATATTTCCCAAGGCTTGCAGCAAGCCTCTTTACACATGGTGCTGGCTCGTGCAGCTTGCATATCTGTTTATTTAGATATAATCTCGTGGATGTTTCTCATTTTTTGAAAATTGGTTGAAAAACAAATGAAATGAACAACATATGTCAGGTATCTTTGCATTTCTTTAAGTTGTATGTTGTTCTAAGTTTTGATACCACCTGTTTTTTTTTCCTTTTTTTTTTCAAGAGCTATGATGTTTTTGCCTTAGTGAATTTTACTGCCTTCTTTGCATATGTAGTTATCTGCTGACTAGTTATACAATTTTCTTCATTCATTTTGTTGATATAGTTCTTTCTTGTAGATAGTTTTATGCTTGCAAGGAGCTATTAACTATAACAAACTGGGAGCAAAATTACCTAGAGGTGTATTGCTGGTGGGTCCTCCAGGAACAGGGAAAACATTACTTGCCCGTGCAGTGGCTGGAGAAGCAGGTGTACCATTTTTCACCGTTTCTGCCAGTGAATTTGTGGAGATGTTTGTTGGAAGAGGGGCAGCTCGCATTAGGGACCTTTTTAATATGGCAAGGAAATATTCCCCATCGATCATATTCATTGATGAGCTTGACGCGGTTGGAACAAAGCGTGGCAGAAGTTTCAATGATGAGCGTGATCAAACGCTGAATCAGGTAATCTGAGTTCAATTCTGGCTTGTATCCTGCATCCCTCGCACCCATCAATATCTGAATTCACTATATTGTGATCATTCCTAATGTCTTCTGGAATTGTTAATGTGTAATTTGATTTATAGACCATTATTTATATTTTCAAACAGTTTTAATAATACAAATTTATAAATAAACCCAATCCTAGACATGTATTTATAAAAAAACCCAAGCACTATTTAAACATAGAAACACACCCAAAATCAACCCCACAGTCAACTTTTTGGGTGTGTTTATAAATGAGTTTTGAGTGTGTGTAATGATGGGTTTTGGGTGTGTTTATAAATGAGTTTTGAGTGTGTGTAATGATGGGTTTTGGGTGTGTTTATAAATGAGTTTTGAGTGTGTGTAATGATGGGTTTTGGGTGTGTTTATAAATGAGTTTTGAGTGTGTGTAATGATGGGTTTTGGGTGTGTTTATAAATGAGTTTTGAGTGTGTGTAATGATGGGTTTTGGGTGTGTTTATAAATGAGTTTTGAGTGTGTGTAATGATGGGTTTTGGGTGTGTTTATAAATGAGTTTTGAGTGTGTGTAATGATGGGTTTTGGGTGTGTTTATAAATGAGTTTTGAGTGTGTGTAATGATGGGTTTTGGGTGTGTTTATAAATGAGTTTTGAGTGTGTGTAATGATGGGTTTTGGGTGTGTTTATATGTTTAAATAGTGCTTGGGTTTTTTTTATAATTTCAACCTCCATTTTGGGTGTTTTAGTGAAACTCCCTTTTAATAATTGTCAAAATCATTGCAGTACTTGGGAAATTCTTTTTGTTCTCATGTTTGATTTCATTTTGATTTCAGAAAATCAAATTGATCCCCTTAAAAGGCTTGTCAACGTTTTTTTACTTATTTATTGCGAATTTATCATTTTTGCCTTATTTTTGTCTTCAGTTCTCAAGTCTAAATAGCAATCGACACTCTAAATTAGTTGACTGTTTCTATCCTTGCTGTTATGCAAAACAGTATAAGGCAGTAATAACCATATTATTGTGCTTTTTGGTATTCTTTTTTTTAGATCTTAGATTTGGATTTCAGTGGAAAATATGTTTTTACTTTCTATTACTTTCAATAAAGGTATTTTTCTCATAAAAAACTTGTTCCTGTCCTTGTAGTTGCTGACAGAAATGGATGGATTTGAGTCAGACTCGAAGGTGATTGTTGTTGCTGCAACAAACAGGCCTGAAGTATTGGATTCTGCCCTTTGTAGGCCAGGCCGCTTCTCAAGGAAAATAGTTGTAGGAGAACCAGATGAAGAAGGAAGGAGAAAGATTTTGGCTGTACATTTGAGAGGAATTCCTTTGGAGGAAGACAGTAATCTTATTTGCAGCCTCATTGCTTCTCTGACACCAGGTTTTGTGGGTGCTGATCTTGCAAACATTGTCAATGAAGCTGCTTTACTTGCTGCTCGTAGAGGTAGGGTGAAGTATATTTCACATCTAAATTATCACTTGGTTTTTGCTATCTGAAAATTTTCTTGCTTGGAGACTTTGCTTTAAAAATATGGCTGGGGTTTCTGTTAAGTTTGGTTTCATTTTTTATTTTCCTTTTTTGGGTCCAATGATTAAATTTTGGTTACCATGAATAAGAGTCATTTTATCTGGCATCTCCTTCTCTCCTACTCGCACCTGCTTTCCCAGAGCCTAGGCTGGCCCTTCTTTCTTTCCTCTTTGTTCCTCTGCCATTTTATTTGTGCCTTTCTTACTGTATAATGCACTGTTTATGCTAAAGATACTTCTAGAAAGAGAACTGTGGTAACCAATAATTCCATATTAATCTTTCCAGGTGGTGAAACTGTGGCCAGAGAAGATGTCATGGAAGCAATTGAAAGAGCAAAGTTTGGGATAAATGATAAGCAACTTAGACCTAGTACTATTAGCAAGGAGCTTGAGAAAATGTTCCCATGGATGCCTTCTCTGATGGGAAAGAATAACACAAGACAAGATGGATTGCCAGGGCCACTAGGATATCAAGCTCTGAGTTGAGTACGTGCATACGTTTTTGTAGTAGTTATATGGTACAATATGATTGAGATTAATAAATTTTTCATGAGTTTAGAAATTTGATTTATACTTGTCATCATTTGCTGAGATATATCTGGTGAAAAAATTGAGAATGATTAATTTTAATATCCATATGAATGCTGGAATTAGCATCTAGATGCATGCTCTGAACGTGCCTGCATCTTCCATTACGAACTACTTTCACTGGCCCATCCTGGGCTTTCGCTCACATGGTAAGGATGGAGTGGGATGGGGCAGTAAGAAAAGCGAAAAACAAAAACAAGGTAACTGGTATTTAGTGGTTCATAGACATATGAGTGAATGTTCATAGTTATAGTTGTCCATCAGAGTCTGTAGCCGCTCAAGTTCATCCAAGTTTCAAAAACTAAACTGCTGTTCCCGTGCAGTGATATAATACTGAAAATCAGTTTACCGGAGCTATTATCAACTTCAGGTTAATATTGAATCGACACTGCTAAAACTGTCCTGAATGTTAGCTTATGAATACTAGTTGACAACTTGTGCAAGTTCACAAGCCTTGCTTTACTGATGTGATCGGCTTGTGACATCCAAGTTTTGGGCAACAACAAGATGATTGACCGTAGTGCTCACCGAATCAAATCGTCAACCGTATTGTTTGATCCTTTACTGGTCATGTTGAAGGCCAAATAAGTGATACTAATGGTAGCTTGTTCACAATTTCTGCGGTTCCTTCTCATCATATTTCGAGAACCATCGGCTGTCTTGATTTACAATTTGACATCCTATGTTGCTCTTAAATCTGGCTTACATTCGTAGGATTCTTTTTCCACTTTGTTGTGGAATTTTCCTTGTCAATAGTAACCTAGAAGTGGTTATCAGCAATTGCAGAATGTAGTGATGGGGATTTATCTTGTCCACGAAAAGATGTTTGGTTCACGTCTGGTTTGATGTCAATTTCCAAGTGGGTTGTGTTATGCAATTCCAGTCATCATCAACCTAAGCTATGATTAAGACCTATAGTTTCCCAGTTTATTGGAATATTATGCGTGATTTTGACACCCACTAATATTCCATTTAGCCATAGTTTCAAAGATTCCCTTTGATTCTTTTAACATAAGCTTCTCATGTCAGACATTTCAATGCTATTCATGTGTTTCAGTCAATTTTGCCTTCTTTTTTCCTTTTGATTATGCTATTTCTACCTCTCTGACTGACGTGTTTGAATGGTTAATGTAGTGTTGCACGGAGCTGATACTTCGCATGAAAAATCCACACGAAGCTTCTCACGTGCCGGTCCGGCGGCATATAAACCCTAATCTTACTGCTATGAGCTGGAAAGCCAATCAACTAGGATCACTATTTGCACAGTGTCATAAAAATTTCAATGCTGAGGAAACTTCAGAGTGGCAATCAGGTATCAAGTAGATGCAATGCCAAGATAACGCACAGCATACCATGTGACTGAAATGGGAAATTGGCATGCTTTACATCCACATGAACTATTTTCCAGCTAGAGTATGCATTACGGTCCCATTAAATTATGAGCACGAGCATCAACTGGTACGTTTACTTGCCCATATGACAGAATAAACTATGATATCTTCAGGATTCTTCCATGATAATTGTTGACAACAAATGGGAAGCGTGATTGTCTGGGAATTTTTTAACCTTATCTTGTGTGATTGAATATAAATTTAAAAACAAAAACTGAAAAATGGAATATTGTAGTGTAGGGCTGAAAATTGAAGCCCCACCGCGCATGCATAAAACATGCTGTCAACTTGCCCATATGAGAAAAAGACGTTTGATCACCGAAAGCCACTCCTAATTGATCGCCCTTGACTGCAAGGTTCCATGTTTTTGGGAATTTGAGTCATGGATGTGTTTTAATATTGGAGTCTTCTGCAGACGCCAGTTAGGCCAGTCCGCAAGGACTCCCTTTTACTCGAATTCGAATTTCCCTTTTCGTAATTTAGACTATCGTTTTTAATATTGAAGTCTTTGTAGACTCCTAGTCAATCAAACATCAGCCACACCAATCTAGGTAATTTGGAAGCAACACAAATTCATTTCTTATTCGGTTTGCTGAAGGAAGCAGCATGCTTTTACACACACAATCAATAGGGCAGCGCGCTGGTGGATTGCCATTGAAGTAGCTAGCTAGGAAGCAAATATGGACCTGTTGCCGGGGAGTACAACCTAATGTAATGAGGAAAACAGAGCCCAAATTTCCTAGTTCCTATATGCACATATTCATTCCATTAACTCTGAGCAATTCACCACAATTACAAAATTACCCTATATTTACAAGATTGGTGGAGCCAAATAGTTTTTTTTTGCCTTAGAAGATTGCTGCTTTTAGTCTCCTTTTCAGCACCTCCCTGAATTCAAAAGAAGTTCAAACCGAATTAGAATAAAACCAACCTTTTAAGCTACAAGTTTAGAAGTTTTTTTTTAATCCAAACTTAAATTACCTTGTGCGTTGTCTGTCTTGAGTTGAAGCAGATAAAAGTCCCCTGTTCTCTTCAGCCCTCCTCAGAAGGTAAGGCAGCACCAACTCTATTGGCCCAAATGGCATGTACTTGCTCACTTGAAACCCTGCATTTCTCAGACCAAAGGAAAGCGATTCCGCCATTCCATAGAGCTGTGCAAATTCAAGCTTCTGGCGTACCTTCCCAATCCCGATTTCATGTGCTTTTGCCACTGCCAGTTTCCCTATTTGTGTTCAACGTTTTACATCAAACATATTAGCTCAAGAATGCAGTTTGGCCTTTTTTCTACAAGTTTTAACACGAGTGTTTGATTTTCTTTACCTGATTCAACATTATGGGTTGCAAGAACAACTCCACCAGAGCCATTGGCAATCTTCTCAAGCATGAACGAAGTGCAATCGTTGTAGCACGCATGTGTGTCCTCAATGCTATCGTGAATAGGAGACTTATACCCCAAGGAAGAAGCTACTTTGGCTTCACTTGACATATAAGCACCCCTCACCACTTTGAACCCCATTGGAATTCCCATGTCGTCTGCAGCCTTTGTTGCCAGCAGCAGTCTTTCCTTTGCATCCTTCAAATAAGCCTGTATAGTCCCATAAACGATCGGGTTGTCATCTTTGTTGTAGATGATCGCAGAAGAGTACGTCAGGTAATCGATGGCCGGTTGAACCGAGGAGTACTCTGCATCAACGGATAAAGGGACGTTGGCTTCGGAGCACTTCTGGGACAGTTTGAGTAGTCTCTGGTGGACTAATTCGAGATCCCGCTCCTCGTCTGGAGTTAAAGGCTCTGGCTTTTCAAGGGTGTGGTAGAGAGGGCTGTTATCAGAGAAAATGGGGAGGGTATCGAGCTTCCACGGGAGCTTGAAAGAAGGGTCTTTGTGTTGCCATCTCAGCAAGTCACTGACCCGCTCAAGCACCCTCATGGGACAAATTGCTGTGATTTTCATAATAATAAAGCTCACCTGTTACAAGCCAAAAACATCGTTTTCAGCCACCATGCATCAAATCAAACCAAACCAACACAAAGCCAAATTTCACAAGGAATTGGTGTGAACTACGATGTTGACAGAAAGACCAAACATCTAGCGTTTTGTTTTTTTTGAACAACTTCTAGTGTTTGTTCCATTTGTGATTTTGAAAATCATGGCAGTCTTAACAACTGGTAACACGAAGGACACAGTCAGCTGGGTCCAGATTTTTCCCATCTTGGAATCTCCCTGTAACCAGCCAGGTAATCTTTAGTTGGTAAATCAAGCGGCAACCGACAACTAATGGACCTACAAAACCATGTCAAGTGACAAACAGCCCAGAAACTACGTAGGTGTGGTCCATGTCACACCCACGTGGCATAAGTAAACAAAGTAGGACCTGCGATCGCACGTGGCACCCTCTACTTCGTCCCTGTAACACCATCCAGTTGTACCATCTTAAATCTCGTCTTTATCTTAAATAGAAAATCGCAAAAGTAGGTCTTACCTATTATTGCAGAGATTTTGCATGGTTAGTTAAAATTTATTTTATTTTATTTTTCGAGCGATATTACTGTAAATTAATCTAATCTAATCTACGAAGGAGAATTTGAACTTGGTTACAGGAAGGCGGACTTACTGGCCGGCCTAACTAATTGACCTAATCCATCTCCGATTTGTTACTTAAAAGTTAAAAACAGTAAAAATCCTTCAACTGGAAATTTACCATTTGAATTCTTGAGATGATAAAAAAAACAAAAACAAAAACAAAAATAAAGAAAATAAATCTTGTAAACATGATTTTTGGATTGATTGGTGATGTGAAGAACTTACGGAAGAAGGAGGGAGGGACTTGGTGGCTTCAACGGTGTCCAAGAACCCCTGCAAGTTCCGATCACAAGCGTCGTTATCGCCGGCGTACTCCAGAGCGTAAACAAGCATCCCTCGGAGCCCGGCCTCGTTCAGCTCGAGCACCGACCTCCCGGCCGCCATGGCGTTCTCACCGGCGCAAAAGTGCTCGTAAAACGTGGACCGTATGATCCCCATGATCACGTCCCGAATCAACGGCGTGTCCATGAGCCTGGATTTCATGACCCACATTCCAATGTCCACCAATGGCTCGAAGGCCACCGCGTGGAGGTTCAGCGCGGCCCTCAGCAGCGTCGGCGTGGAGACAGAGGCGAATAGCTTGTCCACGTCATCGAGGTTGAATATGTTGTCGGTGATGGTGTCGGCGGCGGTGATGGCGTGACCACTGGGAGATTGTAGCGGTTTTTCGGCGTAGCCGATTGGCGGTGATATGGCGGAGATGGTGGTGGAGGAGGCGGCGGAGTTGAGTGGCCTGAGAGTTTTCAGGAGTTTTGATGCTGCTGGGATTACACGGTTTGCCATTCAATGGTGGGTGCCTTGATTAATTCTCTTGGTTTTACTTTCTCCTCTCTCTCTCTCTTTCTCTCTCTCTAGAAAAGTGGGTTGCTATTTGCGTATGTGATGGAGCTAAGGCTTTGGTGTTGGCTTGGAGTGTAGGAATTGGGTTTGGTTTTATAGACAGTTTTGGAGCTTTTTTACAGGGTTGGATTTGGTAAAAAATATTCGGTAAAAACTGTCTGGTAAAAACCATTTGGTAAAACAGAAGTGGGTTAAACTGATCCGGTTGACTATTGACCAGGTTTAGAGGTTTTGATTGGATCGTTTGCGCTTAGTAACAAGTGGAGCTGACTCAGCTGCAACGCAGTGGATCAGGGCGCTAGTTGGCGGAACAGACTAGATGCTAAAACGGATCTTTGTTTCCTTTACGCGGTGGTTATGCGAGTGGTATGCACGCGGTGTACATTTGACGTCGTGCGCTGAACGGTGTGGTTCCGCGGGAACTTTGGAGGGTGTGAGTTGGTCTGAAATTAGATGCTGTAAGATTGGATCTTACGTGGCTCCACGGAATCTTCGTCCAGCTTATACGATTGCCTTTTGCCGACGTCAAATCAAATTGTTTTTGTGTTTTTTTCTTTTTTAATTATATTAAAATTTTCAAAAATAGAAAAATTAGGATTTTGGTTTCTTTGGTTGGGCTTGGGCCTAAAGAAGATTAGTGCCAAACTTTCCAAATTAATTGTAGCTTAACCAATAAACTAATGGGAGTTTCACTAAAACACCCAAAATAGGAGCTGAAATTATAAAAAAACCCAACACCCAAAACACTTTATAAACACACCCAAAACCCATCATTACACACACTCAAAACCCATTTATAAACACACCCAAAAAATATACAATTGTTGACTTTGGGGTTGATTTTGGGTGTGTTTCTATGTTTAAATAGTGTTTGGGTTTTTTTATAAATACATGTCTAGGATTGGGTTTATTTATAAATTTGTATAAACTAATCTCCTTTTAAGGTAAATTATTTTTTTCGGATGATCACAACCTTTTCTTTTTGTGGTCAAGATATACAGAGTACAAAGATGAAAAACCTAACTTCGTGATTATCCAAAAACAGATAAGGAATAAAAACCTAAAAAACCTGAGCTTGTTGGGCAACATTTTTCGGTTCCATGTTACAAAAAACAGATAAGGGAAATTGTGTTTTTGTTTTTCTAGGAAGAGAAAAACTAAAAACGGAAAACTCATTTCCTAAAAATTTATTTCCAACATAAAAAACCAATGCATTTGGACGTAGATGTTATTGTTAGATCCTCAGTATCTTTTACTACGTGAGCAAGGAACTTCTACTAAGTTTGGATTTTGATTATTTATTTTTTCCCAAATGGGCAAACATACAACCAAACTAATGGGGACTTAATACATTGTATTAAGGCCGAACACAGTTACAAACAGCGAAAAAAAATCGTTAAACTAAAACCCTAGAGGCGTCGGTACACTAGATTCCATCACCGCCGCTAGATATCTACTACTGCCGCCGGGCGGCCAACATAGGGGAGGATAAGATATCTTGAAAGGCGGGGGTCATAAGAAGGTGACTGTGAGACACCTGAGAATAGGAATTATGTTTTTTTTTTTTTTTTTGTTGGTCATGACTATTATTAGGCTTTGATTTTCCATGCATATATGATATGAGATCTATTTCTATACACCTTTTAAGTTTAATCTGAAAGTGAACTGTTCAAAGTCTATAAATCCCTCAAAATATTCGAATTTATCCTCTCCTATTGATAAAAACAGAGAAAACCTTCTTAAAATTCGTAACTAATTAGCTTTTTTCCGTGAGCAAATTACTCAAACTTAATCAAAAGCAGCCCTGGTCTACAGGGTTAACTTATCCGTGGCTTCACACTTGTCAAGCAATGGATTGGTTTGAAAACACTATAAATCTCCCTCACTAGCATGAACATTTCATCCAACAATTCAGTTTTCAGCCTCAAAGTGATCTTGTGTGTTTGTGCAGAGAAAAAAAAAGCAAATTTACTTATCAATATGAACCAATCCCAGAATATCAGCAACCAAGCCGGCCAGGCCAAGGGCCAGGCTGAGGTCAGTCTTGAAAAACCCTTTTTTTTTTTTTTTTTTTTTTATTAAAAGCGATAGTCTT